ATGACATGGCAAGATGCAACACGCAAGCAAATGACATGGCAATGACAGCGAATAACTGAAAGACACCTGGCACATCGGTCTCGGGGCGTTACAAAGGCGGTGACCGAACCTTTACAAACAAGGTTGGGGCAATCTCCACAACTTAATCGGAGGCTCCCAACAAGACCACGAAGCTTCACCACAATGGACTATGGCTCCATGGTGACCTCAACCGTCTAGGGTGCTCAAACACCCAAGAGTAACAAGATCCGCTAGGGATGAGTGGGGGAATCGAAAATCCCTTGGTGGAAGTGTAGATCGGGGCCTTCTCAACCACTCCCGAGCAAATCAACAAGTTTGATTGGCTAGAGAGATAGATCGGGCGAAAATGGAGCTTGGAGCATTTAATGGAGCTTGAGCAATAAATGTAGCTTGGGGGGAGGAAGAGGTAAGTGAGAGAGAAGAAGGGGACTCCCTTTTATAGTGGGGGCAACAATCCCGTTGCCCCCCACCAACCAGCCCCACACAGGGCGGTACTACCGCTGAGAGGGGGCGGTACTACCGCCAGGACAACGGTACTGCCGCGCCATCCAGCGGTACTGCCACGCTGAGGAGACTAGTAGGGAAAAGACCCAAACGCGGTACTACCGCGGTGGTAGGGGCGGTACTGCCGCGGTGATAGGGGCGGTACTACCGCTCCTGGAACGGTACTACCACCTCTACAACCGCAACTAGTGCCGCAAAACCCGACACGAGAAAAAGACCTCTCGAATCGAGGCGGTAGGAGCCAGACTGACCAGTGGTACTATGGCGGCGGGGTCACGGGCGGTACTATCGCTGTGGAGCGGTACTGCCGCTTGTGACCCTTCGGCCGTACTACCGCTAGGGCGCGCGCGAGAGAGAGAATCTCTCAAAGATGCTGAGGACAAGGCGGAGGTGCCAGGCCCCCAGCGATACTACTACTGTGGAGCCACGGACGGTACTACCACTGTGGAGCGGTACTACCGCTTGGCTCCTCAGCGGTACTACCGCTGGGTGTGCGGTACTACCGCTTGGACCCAGACAAGACAAGGAAGAGACGAGAGATCTCTTCAATGGAATGGAGATGCACAGAGGGTGAGAAGCTGATGTGTACGTGATGATTTCACCCAAGTAAAACCCCAGCGGACCCTCTTGATAGTACGGTGCCCTCTACGCAACTAGTCCACCGAGAAAGAAACGAAAGAGCTACACCGTCTTGAAATACACTCCGAGGGGAATAAAACGTCTCGTGCCAGGGGAGAATCTGTGAATTATACAAAGCACAAGATTAGTCCGCAAACATGTTGTCATCAATCACCAAAACTACCTTGAGAGAGATATGCCGTAACACCAGAGTCGCCAGACTGGCCAGGTGGATCTGCACCAGAATCCGCGCCAACGGCCTCGCCAGGTGCGGTCGGACGGGATCCAGCGCGCGACTCCTCCAAGCCAACCACGCGGCGTCCCGCGGCTGGGGAGGCGGCCTTCCCCGCCCTGCGCCAACCAGACGCTGACACGTGGCGTCCTGCGGCTGGGTCCCGGTTCCCGACCCAGTCGATCTGCTACAAAAGGCGCGACTTGCGCCGTCCGACAGGCGCTGCCCTGACAGGCGCGAGACCCTGCGTCGATGGCCCGCTCCTGCCATCATGCGCCCATGATGAGCTCTGCGGGGCGGGATCTTCTATGACTGCTGCAACGTCTGCGTCTTCACCACCCGCCGCAGAAGATCCAGCACGCACAGGTCCCGCTGCTGCTGCTGTCTCAGGATCTGCTGCGGGATCGTCTGTGCCACCAACTGCTGCTACATCATCTCCTCGCCGTACACGTTTGCAAAAAGGAGTAATACAGCCTATTGATTATAAACATGTGACAAAATATGGCATGGTGTGTTCTACAGGTGAGCCAGGTGAGCCGCACACGTTTGAAGCAGCACTAAAAGATGAAAAGTAGAAGAAGGCTATGAATGAAGAATTTGTAGCATTGCAGAAAAATAAAACGTGGCATTTGGTTCCTCCAAGACAAGGTAAAAATCTTATTGACTGCAAATGGGTATTCAGAATTAAGAGAAAATCTGATGGAACAATTGATCGTTACAAATCTAGACTCGTTGCAAAGGGTTTTAAACAACGATATGACATAGACTATGAGGACACGTTTAGTCCTGTTGTAAAAGCTGCCACTATTCGTCTTGTTTTGTCCATTTCTGTTTCCAGGGGCTGGAGTCTGAGACAGCTAGACGTGCAGAGCGCGTTCCTCCATGGTGTTCTGGAAGAGGAAGTGTACATGAAGCAACCTCCTGGGTTTGTGAACAAAAATAAACCTTCTTATGTGTGCAAACTTGACAAGTCACTGTATGGGTTGAAACAAGCTCCAAGGGCATGGTACTCACGCCTCAGTCACAAAATGCAAACACTTGGCTTTGCTCCTTCTAAGTCTGACACCTCACTGTTTATTTACAACAAGTACAATACATACATATTTGTACTCATATACGTTGATGATATTATTGTCACGAGTTTATCAGATGAGGCCATTACAGGACTGTTAAAGGATCTCAGCACTGAGTTTGCTCTTAAGGATCTTGGAGACTTGCACTATTTTCTAGGGATTGAGGTAAAGAGACATGAGGATGGACTTCATCTCTCTCAGGAAAAGTATGCAACAGATTTGGTAAAGAAAGCTGGTCTGCAAGGTTGTAAACCCTCACCCACTCCTTTGTCAAGTTCAGAAAAATTGTCACTTACAGAAGGGCAGCCCCTAAGTCCAGATGATAGTACAAGGTACAGAAGCCTAGTAGGTGCACTTCAATATTTAACACTTACTAGGCCTGATATTTCTTTTGCTGTCAACAAAGTTTGCCAATTCCTCCATGCACCCACCACAGTTCATTTGACTGCTGCAAAACGGATTGTTAGATATGTCAAGAACACTCTTAATGTTGGTCTCAATTTCAGTAAGTCACCATCTACACTTGTCAGTGCCTTTTTAGACTCTGATTGGGCAGGTTGCCTGGATGATAGGCGGTCTACTGGTGGTTTTGCAGTATTTTTTGGTCCCAACTTAATATCGTGGTGTGCAAGAAAGCAAGCTACTGTCTCTAGATCCAGTACAGAGGCAGAATATAAGGCACTGGCAAATGCAACAGCAGAGATTATCTGGCTACAATCCATTTTGAGGGAACTTGGTGTTAGAGGCACTCAACCTCCATGTTTATAGTGTGACAATCTAGGTGCTACCTATCTCTCTGCTAATCCAGTTTTTCATGCCAGGATAAAGCACATTGAGATAGACTTTCACTTTGTGAGAGAAAGGGTTGCCAAGAAGCAACTTGAGATTCGTTTTGTGCACTCCAGAGATCAAATTGCAAATGGGTTCACAAAACCTTTGCCTACTAGAAGCTTTGAAGATTTCAAACATAATCTCAACTTGATGAAGTTGTGATTAAGGAAGGGTGTCAAACAACTTATCAACCTGTCACGTTGGCCTCTCTCTCATGCGCCGCACCAGGAGTCTAGGAGTCCACCAGGAGATAGGCTAGGTAGTTAGTTGATATCTATCTATTGTAACCTACTCTATCCATTCAATAGAACCTGACAGAACAAATACATGCCATCTTTCTGGCGACCTTTGTTGCTACACCCCTACAAGCTTGATGATGTGCCTTGACCTGGCACCAACATACATCATCCAACCCGATGGCCTCGCCAAGCCGCCCCACAGAGAGCTGAGAGCACCAACCAGTCTAGCAGACCCTTAGCATGCACCACATGCACACTCTCTAGAATCCGCCACCGCCATCTTCCGCCGTCCCATCTTCAGGAGGGGATCAATGCATTGACCTTGCGAGGCCCAATTGCCGTCGACGCCAGACAGCGTCACCACCCTGCGTGCATACATCCACATGCATCCATCGCCGAGACTCAACTGCGCCACACCGCCAAGACCCACCATGGTCGATGCAGTACATGCAACGCCACTCCACCTTTTGGCCCCTCCAGCCAGCACCTCCTCCAAAACGATGCCCCCAGGAAGGAAAACGACATCAAAGGCGGTGATATCATCCGATCCGCAAGACCCGGATCTAGGCTTTCCCCTGAAACAGCCCGAGCGAGCTGACACAGACTGCAACGATGACGCCTCGACAAGAAAACGACGTCAAAGACGGCGCCATCGTCCGCCATGGCCGAAGTTGGGATGATTTTCACCGGCATCCGTGCTACCCGACTCCGCAGCTGACTGCATCCGCGTGGAGCCACGCCGTGAAGATGCACGCAGCCGCCGAAACGTCGGTAGAGGACCTCCAGCCGCACCTCACCGACCCTCCACACGCCGCTGGCTGGCCAAGGGCCACACCACGACGGATCTGAACGGGGATCAGATCCATGACCACCAACCATCGCTTGAGAGCACGCCGGAGACCGATCCCCATTGACCCTCCGGCCATGGAGGCGACCGCTGCCGCCGCCCGACCAGGGGACTCCATCCTGGCTGCCGCGCTCGATGGTCCAGCGACGACCACCCGCCTCCCCGGAGAGGATCTCCCATAGGTGGCCCATGAGACCGCTGGGGATCAAATCCCCGCCGCCCCCATCATGGGCGCTGCGCGGCCTTGTCCGGCAGTGGCCTCCGGGAGTGGCGAGGAGAGAGAGATCGGGAGGAGGGTGGCGGTGGCCGGCTAGGGTCACGGAAAGAGGAGGATCACGGGAGGAAGATGAGATTGGGACTAGGGCGGTGGCGTCTGTCTAGGTTTAAGTTGTCTATCCATTTTATATCTCATTTAGGTTTCAGAGATCATGCTTGGTGAAAACTTTGCCCAATTTCTTCATATATCTGTCTGTCTCATTGGATTTTTTCAGGTTCTGAATTATAGTTGCTCACTCGCATCATGTTGCCAAATTGTTGTGTGAAATTAGTATGTAAATTAGTATGTGAAATTTTTTCCGCTAAAAGAAGTGCATGAAATATTGTTCTGATCCATGTTGCATACTTTTCACCTGCAGTGCAAGATTTATAGGGAATCATGGTTTCTCAATTGGTGTGGATGATGTCCAACCAGGAGAAAGTTTAAATCAGAAAAAGAAAATAACAATAGATATAGGGTATGAAAAATGCCATGAGCTTATTGCCCTATATTCCAAAGGTGACCTCATACCGCAACCTGGTTGCAACAGAGCTCAAACACTGGAGTCTCAGATATCTTGTGTTCTAAATAATTTAAGAGAAACGGCCGGAGATGTAAGTTAACCAATTAGCTTGTGAATTATCTCTAATCTGAATCTGATCCTTCTTGTTGTATTGCATATAGTATACAAGTTCAAAATATAGTGTCAGTGAAGGATGACCGCCTTTCAGTATTATATTTGTTAAAGAAATTTTGGAAATTATCACAACTTTGCACATGCCAGACCTCCTGAAATTCAAACCTTCCTTTTTTTATGTGAAAACCTCTTCTCTGTTTCTCTGTTTTTATTAGCTAGGCAGTTTTGTTTTTCCTTGCTTGCTTTTTAGCTTCTATGTTAGGTTGCAGTCACTTGGTGGCTTTGTGTACTTGTCGCCTTATTTAGCGGTTTCTCTAATACAAGGTAACACACTTTAGGTGCGTTTTAGAGGTAAATCATCACAACTATGCAGTGTTACTGAGTTAAATTCTCTTGTATGGATGTTCTCATCACTAGCCTAATTTTAAGTGAGGCTTTAGTGAAAAAATTGATGGATGCATTAATTCAGTCCAGTGACTAACCCAGTATGTCCATTTTGACTTCACCATACTTGTGTATTGAGTGACTTGAGTTGGAACTTATTTTTCAGGATTGTATGAGTACGCTTCACTGGAGGAACAGCCCATTGATTATGTCTCAGTGTGGATCTAAAGGTTCTCCAATCAATATTAGTCAGATGGTTGTATGTGTTGGACAACAATCAGTTGGAGGACGCCGTGCCCCAAACGGTTTTATAGATCGAACACTTCCCCACTTTCCTATTAATTCAAAGACCCCTGCGGTAAGAACAGGTCTTAAAAATATGATTTGCTCAGGCAACCATTTCTTGTGTTGGCTATCCCTAATTCTGTTCCAATAAAAGAAGTTCTGCAAATGTTATGAACATACTGAAACCACACACTGCCATCTTATGTTCTTATGTAACTTCCTAACTGAGCACTCCTTAATTGATATCAGCTCCTTTTCATATGCCATATACTACGACACCTAAAACTTTGCTGAATGGTGAGGCAAAAGTTTGCTTGTTGAGGATGGTCCGTCAATTCTATTGCGTGATATCTTGTAGAAAGGGGACTTTCAGGTCAAGATTAGCTCAGTACCATCACTAAGATGCATAAATTTAAATATCCCATTGACTTTGAGGATGACTTGTACGGCGTGTACATTGGATGATATTTTCGAACATTGTGTTCTCTCGATGATATTGATAAATGTTGCCATTTGTTTTGCAGTAGCGGTAGTATTTTCCATACGCTATTACATGATAGGAAATTTTTAGTCTGAATTATTCTACATGTATATTTATCTCTGTTGCAGCAACTTTTTACCTTCTACTCGTGGCAACTGCCATTTTATTTGTATTCAGTGCATGAAATCAGCATATTTTTACAGTGCAAATGTATGTTCTCTTCGGGTAAGTTATTATTATGTCATTCATTGGCAGGCGAAAGGTTTTGTTGCTAATTCCTTCTATACGGGTTTGACTGCTACTGAGTTTTTCTTCCATACGATGGGTGGACGGGAAGGTCTTGTTGACACAGCGGTATGTCTAAACCTAGACCATCTTTTGGTTCCATACTTGCATGTCTCCAAATTTGTACTCTATCTCAGCTTCTTTTGTTATGGTTGCTTAAATTTGTAATCATAGGTAAAAACAGCAGAAACTGGATATATGTCCCGCAGACTAATGAAGGGTCTTGAAGATCTCTCAGTTTTCTATGATCAGACTGTCCGTAACGCTAGCGGCGGTATTGTTCAGTTTGTCTATGGAGATGATGGTATGGATCCTGTAAAGATGGAAGGAAAAGGTGGTCGTCCCTTAAATTTGGACCAATTGTTTATGAAAGTCATGGTTAGTTTTAACATGCATGAATACTTTCTTAGGTTGACGAAGATAAGGGTTCCTTGTGCTCTGAGCATTGATCGGTGACGATTTAACTTTGTAGGCCACATGTCCGCAAAGGGGACATGACACGTTATCTCCAGAGTTAATCTTGCAAATTTTTAATGATAAGCTCTCCGGACAAGATGCCTCATCTGGTGGTTGTAGCGATAAGTTCAAGGAGATGTTAACAAAATTCTTTGAGGACCGCATCAAAATGCTTAGAAGCACAAGGAGAGCGCTTCAACTAGATGAAGATCGTGTGGGAAAGAGGGACTCTAGCATTGAAGAACGCGTTGCTGCTGATATTTCTGGCATATCCGCGAAACAACTGCAGGTGTGTATAAAATCTTGCATGTACTAAATCATCATTATTTTACCAAACTACTGTAATCTTAAGCACGTCGCCTATGATTGTGTATCTGCAAGATGAAACTAGATTTTGTGCAGTAAAATGTTCCATCAAGTAGATCGTTTTGGTAACGTTATATTGTTGTGGTTATTAAGTGACTGCATTTCTAAAAACATCAAAGCCCTTCGAAAGTCGGCCTGTGGGTAGAAACAGTGGCATTTTATTAAGGTCATGGTCTATAGTTATCTGCACATCTGCAACCTTTAGGACTATCTCATTCTAGTCCACCAAATGCTGACCAATGAGAGCCCTATAAAAGTCAGCCTGTGGGTAGAAATAGTGGCATTCTTGTGACGAACAATTTTAAATAACCAGGGTACAAGGATTTTTTTATCAGTTTGTTTGTGCATTTTGTTCTTCTGTAGTTCTGCTATATGATTATTATATCCTTTTTCCTGGCACAGGTTTTCTTGGACACTTGCTTATCTCGTTATCACTCAAAAATAATCGAAGCAGGAGCATCAATTGGGGCAATTGGGGCACAGAGTATTGGAGAGCCTGGGACCCAAATGACACTGAAAACCTTCCATTTTGCAGGAGTAGCTAGCATGAGTATCCTTCCTTTACTTTGTATTTAAATAAAATGGTATAGTCATTGTGGCATGTTAATGATGCGGAAGTTTATTTTCTGAAACTTATCATTAGGGGGCTACTATGATTTATTATCTAATGAGTATGATAAAAAATTTCAACAATACATACAAAGAAGTTTTATGGTTACTGTTGATATGGTAGGGCTCTATGGCATACAAAATGCAGAAATATAAATATAGGACGTTGAATCTACTACAGTTCAATATCCTTCAAAGATTTGTTTCCTTAAGAACAACAAAGATGTTACTCTTGGAGTTCCCCGCATTAAGGAAATCATCAGTGCTGTTAAAAAGATAAGCACACCAATTATCACCACAGAACTTTTGTCTGAGCAGGATGAGTTGTTTGCAGCCAAAGTGAAACGTTCAATTGAGAAAGTAGTGCTGGGTGAGGTAAGTTATTCAGATAATTATATTCTTTTGAATTTGTATATGCACTTAAAGGAAGTTTGTGTGCTTGCATTTTGCTCTGGGTATTGTTAAACATGTCACATAAATTTAGTGCATTCATAGTTACAAAGAATTGTCATTTGACATTCTCCCAGGCATTAAATATACATGCACTTCATCAATCTTTGGGCTTTGCTATGGATGCAAAATCTTCGATTTGTTGTTTGGCTGTCTAGCAAATATATTATAAAAATATTCATGTATGTGTTTTATGAGCTATGTATAGATAATGTTTACAATTTGTTAGTTTAATATAACAAGTCTTGCATTATTATGTGTGAATTTGCATATGTTGGTTTGAGCCGAGATTGTTGAATGTTTTAGTTTGTCTAGTCATGTGCTTTTGCATGAACTCAAAATGAAGAAAAAGATCTGCGCATGCTATATGCCCTGTGCATTTTTTTCTTCGAAAAGGAGGTTGAAACCCCGGCATAACAGATAACTTTTGTAAGGAAGCACTCAACTTGACGACAAACCTTGTTATGTTCAACAGGTGGCAGCAGCCATAAAGATTATCTTAAAATCAAACCAGCCATATTTGGTTGTTGAACTCGATATGCAGCGCACAGAAGGGTACATGGGAATCTCTTCTGACACTGCAGTTTTCAATACTAAATGATCCAAAAATAAAGTTAAAGTCTGAGGTAAACAAAGCTCTGTGGTTGCGTAATGTGCCCAATATTTTCTCTGCAATTGTATTTATGATATATCATATTTACAGCATGTTCGTGTCATCGATGAAGCCAAGTTGAGAATATATCCAACTGGAAAAGATAAGTCCAAACTTCAGCTTGAGCTGCACAATCTCAAATCGATGCTTCCAAAACTGATTGTAAAGGTAAACGAAGTATGACGTAAATTTTCTTCCATTATGATGATGTAGCTGACCTTCCTATTGATCAATGCAGGGCATTTCAAGTGTTGAAAGAGCTGTTGTCAACCCTGTTTTAAGACGCGATGGAACTTTCGACAGATACAACCTGTTGGTTGAAGGGTAAGGATTCTTATTTATTGCTTCTGTAAGTTGTTTATAAGAATCACTGTGACTTCTTCAATGCTAGTCTGAGATGATAATATGCCAATCAAACAATTTTTTATTGCAGAACAAACCTCATGAAAGTTTTGGGTACTCCTGGAGTTGATGCTAAGAGAACAAAAAGTAACCACATTTTGGAAGTGAACAAAACACTTGGAATTGAAGCTGCAAGGAGATCTATCATTGATGAAATTCGGTATACCTTTGAAAATAACAACATGATGATTGATCTGAGACATATGATGCTTCTGGCAGACCTGATGACATACAAGGTTTGTAGAATCATCTTACACTGATCACCATTTTAATCATCCATCCATCTGCCTCAAGGATGATTAATAACTGTGCATATGCTGCCGGTTTCGCAGGGCGAAATTTTGGGCATCACGGCTGGCGGCATCGCGAAGATGAAAAGCAGCGTGCTGATGCTGTCTTCATTCGAGAGAGCTTCGGAGCATCTCTTCAACGCTTCGTACGCTGGTCGCGAGGATCAGATAGAGGGAGTTAGTGAATGCATCATCATGGGCATACCCATGCAACTCGGCACTGGTATCCTCAAAGTCAGGCAAAGGTACGTGTAATGTATTGCCCTCAACTCTCTGTTGCAAAAGAACACCTGTCTAAATTTAATTACTATTTTATTGTTCTTAACCTGTTTTGGACGGCACTGTATTTTCATTGTTATGTGGTGCAATCCTTAACCAAACAGACAAGATTAAATGGGTGGCATTTATTTTCCTTGCAGGCTCCAGGATTTGCCTGAATTCAAGTACCAGCCCGATCCAATTCTACTGTGAGATCGAAGAAGCTTGGATTTGGAGATGCATGACATAGGACTGTACTTTCTTTACAACTCGTTTGACACTCCTCATTTCATGTGGTAGAAACGAAATGAAATCTATGTTAGGATTTCATTCGGTTGAAATGAAAATCCAATTGCAAAAAACTTGTTTGGCTGCTACAAGGATTTGTAAATTGCAATGACTCCCATATCATGATGTTTGGCTGTCATTTTGGCAAGAATTGTTGATAAACCCACACATAGTTTGGCTTCAAAAATGAGATGTATCAAGTTGCGGCACACAATATTTCATATAAGAAGCAGCTCCATAAAGCACAAATCCACATACTGAAATTCAATTACAACTGCAATATCCATCTCCATAAAGCACACAGTCTTGTAAAAGAAAAACAAAGGTTCAAGACTTCAAAGTTAGTACTAAGAAAGGTTTGGAAGACAAAATACTACAACTTGTCATCACAAGTGTATTTTTTCGATAAAGGGTGGATTTTATTGGCTCAAAAAGGACCATCAAGAGGAACAAACCCTAAGAGCACACAACCCGGCCCCTGCATAGCTAGAATGCACATAGCCAACACCAATGCACACACACAAAAAATACGTCTGGCAAGGAAAAAGAAAAAAATCCAAAGTGATAAGATCCGTGATACGCAAACTACAACAATCACCATAACCACACCAACGATCTCATGGCATCACACAGACGACGAAGTTCTTCAACAACAACGTCTTCAGAAGGGAGCGACACTCAAACGTCACCGTCACCGGATCCAACCACCAAGGCTAGAATCTAGGTTTTCACCTTGAAGAATCAATCCGGGCATATCCAAGCAATGCCTTCAGCAAGGTAACAATGTAAAAACATCACCATTGCCAGGTATAACCAACTCGAGCCAGACCTAGGCTTTCACCTTGGAGCTCGCGACCTAATGCTTGAGTAGCACCACCATCAAAGTCATCAAGTGTTGCCACCGCCACTTCTGTGCGATCTTAGAAGCTACATGTGATGCGACTGGCGCCGCTGCATAACCATCCCTATGTGTCAAAGTCGTCGTCCATAATTTGTATCTCACCGCCGAAGTCAACCAGCGAATATTGAGCCGAAGACTCCCAAAGATCTTTCAATGACCACCGCCGTCGTGGAGCCGTAGGAGGTCGCTGCAACATAGTTTGCAGCCATCACCATTCGGCCGACCAGATCTGAATCACCACCACCAAGTCGTGGACCGTAGAGAGCCCGATGCATGCCCCATGCCAGCCATGAGCGCCAACAGCCAAACTGGCCGCCGTTCTGCAGCTCTGCACCATTGGGTGGCAGTGACGCTCCGCCGGTGCTAGGTGTCATTGCCACCAGGGGAGGCTGTGCATAGGGATTTTTCCGGTGATTGGTGCGGTCGCCGATCCATTTTTCCAGACATGGCCAAAACAACTAGCCGCAATCCAGGCCTTCGTCGGGCCTTCGGTCCACAGAGGAGCCGATCGGGCCAATCAGCCAGGCCTTCGCGACGCGGTATCTCGGCGGAGGACTCGCCAGACTAGCATATTGATGGAGTTCTAAGGCTGATCATAGTGGGGAATACCTTATACTGGTGTCGTGCATATGACACTAGTCTAAGTTACTACCTTCGTAGTGCAAAGTAACATAGTAGTAGTGTCATAGGTGACTTCATTTTTTATCTTGTAGACTCACCCTTTCTCAGGAAGCACTATGTTACAGTAACATATTATGTTACTCTAAGCACTTCTCTCCTCATTAATTACATGCCACATAAGCAAAATTTTCTTGAAGTGCGCTATGTTACTACCTAAGTTACTCCCACTATGACTAGCCTAATGCATTGTCCCAATGGATATTGATTGAGTTCCAACTGCTCACACCGAAGTTGCAATCAAAGAATAGATGTTTGTTTGTTTCTAGTCGCTTTGCAAATTTTACTGACCCATGAAATGGGTGAAATTCGGCCTCTTGGGATTTTCTCAGAAAATCTCGGACAAAAAGCACAATCAAGAATTAGATATTTTTTAAAACAAAAAATGAGAAGAAATTGAACAAAACATCCAAAATTTGAACTCAAGCAACAATGAAATATAGCACAATGAAATTGAAAGGAAAACGATCCATTAGTTGCTTATACACACAGAAATAACTCCAATTAAGCAGACTACACGAAGAGACACAATTTTGGCAATAGAGCAATCTAGAAATGCACGGAATCAGGAATCCGAAGTCGCTTAAACTCCAATCAGTAACTCGGTTTAGTACATGATGACTTTGATTTGTTGGTACTTCTCAAGTACTGGCCTCGAGCTACAGGGTGAAAATCCAATATCTGACTCTATTTGATTATATCTGGCAATGACGATGTTTTTTGTGTCATTATTTTGTTGAATGCATTGCTCAGATTTGCTCGAACTTATTTTTCACGGTGAAAACCCATGATCTCGCATTCGGTGGTTGGATTAGGCGACGGTGGTGCTTGAGCGTCGTTCCCTTCCCGAACGCATTGCTGTTGAAGAATTGTAATTGTGATTTTAAGATATGGTTGGCACGGATATGGTCGCTATTGTAGCTTGTTGATCATTGTTTTGATCGATTCTTTTCTTTTTAATTCACCATGGCATAACTTCGATCATGTATGACTATGCTAGTTGCCGGTGTAGTTTTGTGTGTGTGGGTGCTTTGGTATTGACTGTGTATTTGCATTCACTTAATGCTACATTTTGAATTAATAAAAATCTACCATTCATAGAGAAAATACATTACAAATTCCAAATAGTTCAATTAGCAGAATTCTCACGCCAGTACTCATCTCCGAATCATCAATCGCCCCACTAGGCAGGTAAGGTCTCGTTTCGGCCGCCCGAACAAGCATGGCCCAACTAGCGGAGAGGACACACAAGGGCCATTGAGCCTTTTTGCCTCGCAGGCTGCGTCCCCAGGCCTTTGACCCCGTGGTCGTCCTGGCACCCCTCGCCGTGGTGGCGCGAGCACATCTAGCACGTGGAAGACACCTCCACTCAAGGAGGAAACATAGGTGAAACTGAAAATAAGGTATGGGAGCTTTGTATGGGCCTTTAACACCATCTGATGGGAAGTGTAGACTAGGCCGAAGGCTAGAACGAACCAAAAATTCAAATAGGACTGACCGAAATCCAAAACCTTGGACCCAACACGTCGGCGAGCCCGACTTTGTCTCGCTTATGGCGATACACAAGCTTGTCTCGCCTTAGGAGTCACTACTAATGGGCCGGTCGAAGTAGCTTCCGACAGCCTAGTTTATTTTTCTTCTCTGTTTTTTCATTTGTTTTTTATGTGTTTTTTGTTTTTTTTAATATTTTTAAGAACATTAAGATTACATATATTTCAAAACTTAGATTTACTTAAAATAAATTAAAAACCATGAATTTGAAAAGTGCTAATGCAATGTATTTTTTAGCATAACTAAAAAAATATGATATCATTTGAAAAAACATTGTGACATTTAAAAAATGTTCATACATTTCATAAAAATGTAATTTAAAACTTAAAGAATCTTATAGTTTGTACAAATTGTTAGTATAATTAATAAATTATTTTCTACCATTAAAAACTTCAAACATTTTAAAAATATGTTCATGAAATTAACAAAGATGTTTATACAATGTACAAAAATGTTCACATAGTTTAAGGAAAATGTTTGTACCATTCAGAAAAATATTTCGTACCATTCAGAAAAATGTTTATACAATGTACAAAAACTCACGCAAATTGCTACAATACTGGGCCGGCTCATTACCACACAGACCGAGTTAAGTCTCGCATTGGGCGAGAAACAGCCCTGTCGTCCGTCGGCGAGATCGGGAGCTTTCCTCTGGTTTTCCAGCTTCCTAGTTCACCTGGCCACCTGGGCTCCTACCTCGCGTCGGATTCCGGATTCGGGACTTCAACGCGGTGGGATTTCCACTTCCGACGACCTGGATGATTTAATCACGCTGCTAATCAGGCCAAGAAGCGACCTACACCGTCCGATCCAGATTTCAAATATCTAATCTGTCAATCCGTCTTCCCCGCCAACTGATTAGTACATTGGCACTGCTTGGTTCCCACGCTTCCGGCAATCCGGCTCCGACGCCAACACGGCGACCTCCCACCGCCACGCGCTTGACATAACCCTAGCCCCGCCCCTCTTTCCGGTGTTTCCTTCTCGCCCCTCGCCTCCTCCCCTTCCTCCACAGCCCCATCGCCATGTCGACGTCTATGTGGAAGAAGCGCCCGTCTTCCGGCATGCTTGAGGTCCGCCGCGAGCTCGAGCGACGACGGAAGCTCGCCGTGGCCGCGAAAGGGAGAGTTAAAATGAAGCCCCCTGCCGTGCAGCCGCCGCCTCGTAGATCGGTGGTGCTGATCCCGTCCGTGTCGCCAGGCGCCGCCACCATGGAGCTCGCCAGCCCGACAAGGGACGAAGTTGCAAAGAAGTGCTCCACCCGGCCGCTGCCGCCGCACCGGCCTGCGCTGTCCCCGCTCGCAACACCCAAGCCGGCCTCCAAGAAGATCGACTACATGGACATCGGAGAGGCTGAGGAGAGGCGCACTGCCCCGCCGCGCCGAGACCCGCTGATCCCGACCGCGTCCGCCGTGAAGGTTGCAACCGGAGGAATTCCCAGGAAGCCCTCTGCCCCTCCTCCGTCACCATGCCAGTCCGCGCCGATCCCGCGCGCGCCGGCTGCCGCCATGAAGCCACCCAGTTCGAGTTCGAGCACATCGGAAGCAGAGTACACCAAGAAGACGTCATCCGCACCGATCCCGCCGCGCCGTTCGTCCATCTCGGTGAAGAAGGGCACGCCAGTGAAGGTGCGCACCCTGCTGGCGAACCTGCCGACGGGGGAGCGCCTCGTCTTCTCGCTCAACGCCGTCGCCGTCTCCGACGCAGAGGATGGCTACATCGATGTGCTGTACAACGGCAACTACCCTCCCGACGATCCATCTCGAGCCGTGCGCGTCGCCGTGGGCGACGTCAAGATCATGCCGCTCACCCAGTGAGGACAAGACGGCCGCGAAGTCTTCCGCTACTGAAGAAGTTCTAGGAGCGGATGCCAGTACCCAGTAGTTTCCTTGTATACACGAAGGAATTAGGGACCTGAAGATGTCTTCTTGCAAGTTTTTTGGTCATGGAAGGCACTGTCAGTGTCAAGATGTAGCTAGCCAGTCAAGACGTACCACCGTCTGAATGTAAATCTCGGGAGTCCTAGATCATGCACTCCTATGATGTACTGTAATGAATTTCTCATGAATGGAATACAAATCATTTGCTTCAAATTGTTTCGGTAGGCCCAAGACAAACTAACCGGCAAAAGCATGTGTGTAGCACAATGCTTGATTAAACACTTTGGATTCATGAGCGTGATGGTTCATGCTCATCATAACCCAACGGGACGACGGGTTCTACACTCTCACAACCGTAGTGAAGTTGCTGTATGTGCAAACTCTTCAGTTAGCCTGAAATTGTTCAGTTGCAGCTACCTTATGTCTGCTGCTATTTTATCATATTCATTCATGCCTTCTTGTAATCAAATCTGGTATACTAGCATGTAGTAGTACATTTTATTTTTATTTTCGGATGAAAGATATCATGATTAAAGTTAAAACGGATAGATCATGTGCCAGACTCAAAATATGCTGAAAAGGATCCTTGACAGAAAACAGAAAAACGCACTGGGTTCCAATGATAACAATGGTGTCATCGTCGCGTGAAGAGAAAACAGGATGGACCTACTAGCAACATCGACTCTCATGCAATCCATAAAGAGATGATGGTCTTACTCTGCCATCAAATGCAGGATTCTTCAGAACCAAAGCGCTTGGCTAACTGAACATTCGAAGTTCGAACTATTTGGATAACGTACACTCCATACAACACAGGTTGCATCAAAATTTACTATCAATGCCAATATTTGGAGGCATGTACAAGTGTGTGCTAGAAGTGCAAACAAGAATTCAAGAACTGTACTATTGGAAAGCCATCTTATATTCACAAAAAAAAGGGAAAGCCAACTTAAATGTATCATTATGTTACTAGTCCATTAATCAAATAATTTTGGAAAGCCATCTTAATGTTAAATGTAGCCTATAGCACTCTTTGATCTGTATTCGTGTTGAGTACTCACCCCAATCATCATATCTCATTTGTGAAAGGGCATTTCTCAACTTTATGTTTTGGATGATGATGACAACCCTTGATGGTCTAAACGTGTGCTTTATGTTTCAGGTTCTCGATGCTTAGGCTTACATCGGATTGCTATTACCTCTCGAAGGAAAAGATCGAAGACGTGTCCTCTACGGTTTTATTTTCTGTGGTCGTAGAGTACCCGTACTATCAAGAGGGAATCCTCATTAGGAAGCTCTGGGGGAATCAGTTCACGTACACTTTTCTCACCCTCTCTTTGCCTTCCTCAGGTGTGTGTGAGAGAGAGAGTTTTCCTTGCCTCTTCCCCTCTTTTCTTTTCTGCTCACTGTTTCTGCCCAGCGGTTGTACCGCTCTCTAGAGCGGTTGTACCGCTGGGTCTTGTCGCTCACCAGCTGTGCTCGAGCGGTTGTACCGCCACCATGTTCTGCAACAGCTGGGGCGGTGGTTCCGTCCATGCACCGCTCCAGTACCGCTCTCGCTTCTGGTTTGATGCGGTTCTTGGGCGGTAGTGGCCCGGTTGGTCCGGTCGTTCCACGATGACCGGTACCACCAGTGGTCCGAGCGGTTCTTCCGCTGAGGACTTAGCCACCCAAGAGCTCAAGGCCATACGGTTGTTCCGGCCAGGCACCGCCCAAGTACCGGTCAAGCTCTTGTTTTGATGCGGTGTTTGTGCGGTGGCCAGGTGGTTAGTCCGGTTATTTTTCTTAGCCGGTACTACCGCCCCCCTGGTCTGGTCGTACCGCTTGGTAGGGTTCTGTTGATACACCGTGAGTCCCGGTTGTACCGGGACGAGGACCGGTTGTACCGCTGCAGTGCTAAAATCACAGTAACGGTTGGAAATTGAGGGTGACTATATAAGGGAGCTTCTCCCACCTACCACACCCACCTTTGACCTCTCTCACTCCACCATTGATGCCCTTCAAGCTCTCTTGCCCGATCTCTCTCTCTCTAGCCACTCAAACTTGTTGATTTGCTAGGGATTGAAGAAGGAGACCTAGATCTACACTTCCACCAAAGGATATTTGGTTCCCCCATACTTTCTTGTGTGGATTTTGTTACTCTTGGGTGTTTGAGCACCCTAGACGGTTGAGGTCACCTCGGAGCCATATTCCATTATGGTGACGCTTCGTGGTTTCGTTGGGAGCCTCCAATTAAGTTGTGGAGAGAGCCCCAACCTTGTTTGTAAAGGTTCGGTAGCCGCCTTCAAGGGCACCAATAGTGGAATCATGGCATCTCGCATTGTGTGAGGGCGTGAGGAGAATACGGTGGCCCTAGTGGCTTCTTGGGGAGCATTGTGCCTCCACACCGCTCCAACGGAGACGTACTTCCTCTCAAAGGGAAGGAACTTCGGCAACACATCCTCGTCTCCACCGTCTCCACTCTTGGTTATCTCATGCCTTTTTTTAAGCTAGCTTACTTGTTTTATATCTCTTGCTTGCTTGTGTACCTATCCTCGTTGCATCATATAGGTTGTTCACCTAGTTGCATTTCTAGACAACCTATTTTGATGCAAACTTTAACTTGTTAAAGAAAAGCTAAAAAATTGTTAGTTGCCTATTCACCCCCCCCCCTCTAGTCAACCATATCGATCCTTTCAATTGGTATCAGAGCCTCGTCTCTTTATTAAGGACTTTACCATCCAAAGAGTATGGTTGATACCGTAGACGGTGTGGAGGAACACTCCGGTGTGAATCCGATCTCGTCTACGGGAGATGGGGGAACTTAGGTCTCTCGTGAGGAGTTCAATGTGGCCTTGGAGACATTGAAAACCTCCATGACGACTGAAGTCGAAAGCATGTTTACTAAATTTTTTGAGGGGCTTAAACTATCCACCGCACCGTTGAAAGTGGGTGATCCCGCTAACAAGGTGACGGATGCTATCCCCGACAAGGGGGAAGCTAGTAGTGAAAAGGCTCCTTCTTCTAGTGGCAAGAATGGCACCGGCATCTTTGCCCATGTGGAACCACCACTTGTTTATGGTGGACCGGTTCCTTCCACTCATTTGAATCATGCCGGTCCTCCCCCTAAGATTGTGAAAAATGAGGATTTTGATTCTTGGGTTTACTGCTTTAAACGTCATTTAAATCATGTGAACACTAACCTTTGGAGAATCATTGAAGAAGGTTTCTATCCACATGATCCAAGCAACTTCACTCCTCGAGAAGCCGCGGACAATCAATTCAATGAGAATGCTCTCTTCATCATTCAAGATGCTATTCCACCCGAAGACCTACCTCATCTTCGTCCTTTCGCCTTGGCCAAAGATGCATGGCATTGTGTCGTGTCTCTCTACCGGGGAAGCGCAAGCATTCAACGCTCCAACTATGAAGTGGTACAAGATGAGGCCGATGAGTTTGCAATGAAGGAAGATGAAGAACCTCGTGAGCTCTATCGGAGAGTAACCAAACTCGCGGTCTCACTACGAGATCACGGGAGCAAGGACACGGATGACAATTGGATCAAGCGCAAATTCCTCAAGGCAATGATGCCCTATCACAAGGCCATGTCCTCCGTCATTCGTCAAAGACCGGACTTCCACACTTTGACCTCAAGCGAAGTGTTGGATGAGTTTGTGGCCATGAACATTTTGGACAAGACCGCCGACAATGCGGTGCTCCGTTCTCAACGGGCAAAGAACCCTAACCTTGCATTGAAGGCCAAGCTCATAGTGGAAGACGAAGAAGAGGAAGAAGAGGAGAGCAACCCCGAAGATACGAAGTATGCATATCATGAACACATGGCACTTGCTTCGAGGCAATTTTGGAGCAAGAAAAACTCAAGGCCAAACTTTAGCAAAAACAACTCGAGTGGTACAAGGGGCAAGCAACGTGTAAGGACTTGCTACAATTGCGGCAACGTGAGTCATTTCGTTGCGGAATGCTCGTATGAGAAGAGGGAAGACAATGGTGGCAAACTCATCCGAAAGGACAAGGCCAAGTCATTCCCCAACAAGAACAACTTCACCAAGAAGACTCATCCCAAGGCCTTGGTTGTGCAAGAAGAGTACAATGAGGACGATGACGATGATGAAGATGATGAGTCGGTAGCCATGGCCTCCGTTGCCATTGCAACAACGTCACGGGTGTCTCTCTTCGACTCACCCAACGAGAGCATCACCGCCAAGTGCCTCATGGCTAAAGCCACCAACAAGGTAACCTCCAACATCAAAACTACCATCATTAATCATCCTTCCCAAACGGATAGCATTAATGAATTTGAGGGAGCTAATGTGGAGGCTAACGAGTTTGAGCCCTTTATGGTCAAACTCAAGGGAAAATCCAAGAAGCACTTTATTGCTCTCTTGGAACAACTTGGTGAGGCCAATGACATGATCGAGGCTCACGAAGACACCATCTCTAAGATGGAAGGACATAGTCGTGACTATGCCGATGAGATTTTGGATCTCTCCAATGCTCTTGAGGAAGAGCGTGGTCTTCGTTTGGCTCTTGAGGAGTCACACAACGTAGATCATGCTAAGTTAGAGAAAGATTATGATCATGCCCTTGTTGTTTCTCGTGTGCTAAATTCCGAGAAGGCCAAACTCGGGGTTGATCTTGCTAGACTCAAAGAGGAGTTTGATATACTTGACAAGGCCCACAAGTCCTTGAAGGGTATTCACGCTAGTCTCAAGGAGTCTCATGATCAACTCCAAGTGAAGCTAACTAAGGAGAAAACAACTTTTCCTCATATGGTTTTAATTGATAATGCAAATGCTACTAACCCGTGTTGTGAGCATATACATCTTGTTGAGGAAAATGCCAAGTTGAAGGAGCAACTTGAGAGAGGTCTTGCGACTTGCATACAAGGCAAGAAGAACCTCAACGATCTCTTAACCAACCAAAAGGGAGGTGTGGCCAAGGAAGGGGTTGGGTACGTCCCCGACTCCAAGAACAAGAAGAAGAATGACAAGACCAAACGGCCTCCTCCTCTCATGCAAACCTTTGTGAGGGAGGGAGAGAGTGCCCCCGAGGAGAAGAAGAAGAATAAATGTTAAGAAGGGCAATGTCACCCCTCCCAACAAAGCCGGCGATTTTAATCCTTCTTATGTGTTATGCCGTGCTAGTGATGGGCATGTTTATGCCAAATTTGTTGGTTCTCTTCATGAATACATTGAATGGTCTATTTGGGTTCCTAAGACCCTTGTTACTAACATCAAAGGACCCATTACAAAATGGGTACCTAAAACCAAGCATTGATCTCTTGTAGGTGTTTGCTTCCGGTGGTGGATCATGGTTGCTTGATAGCGGAGCTACAAATCATATGACCGGAAGTAAGGACTTGGTGGTGGACGTGCACAAGGTTCCATCTATGCCCACCAATGTCGAGTGGGGTGACGCCTCATCTTCTAAGGTATTGGGACTTGGCAAGGTGGTCATCTCTCATGATCTCACGATCGAGAAGGTCATACTTGTTGAGTCCCTTGCATACAATTTACTTTCCGTTCGTCAACTTGCAATCATGGGCTTTGCCACTTTCTGTGATATCGATACCGTGGCCCTCTTGTGGAGCAAGACTCTTAAAGTAGCCTTTGTTGGGCATGTCGAGAACGGTCTATATGTGATTAACTTTTCGGAGCGACCCACTAAGACCGCGACATGCCTAATGGCTAAAGTTGATGTGGGATGGCTTTGGCATCGCCATTTAGCCCATGTCAATATGAGATCTTTGCAAAGTCTCCTCAAGGGGGACCATGTCCGTGGAGTAACGAATGTTAGTTTTGCTAAAGATTGTGCTTGCAGTGCCTGTATCGAAGGAAAGCTACATGAGAAGGCTCACCCTCCCACGACTATCATTTATTCAAAGAGGCCTTTGGAGCTCCTTCACATGGATCTCTTTGGGCCTCCATCCTTCGATAGTCTTGGAGGTAGGAAGTACTGCTTGGTGATTGTGGATGACTACTCAAGGTACATGTGGGTGTATTTCTTCAAGAGGAAGAGCGAGACCCAACAAACCGTCATTGACTTTTTAAATGAAGCACAACGTCAACACAATGCAAAGATCTTGACAATAAGAAGTGACAACGGCACCGAGTTCAAGAACTACACCTTGGATGAATTTCTTAGTGATGAGGGAATCAAGCATCAATATTCCGCACCATACACCCCTCAACAAAACGGTGTTGCGGAAAGGAAGAACCGGACGTTGATGGATGCGGCAAGGACCATGATGGCGGAGTTCAAGTCTCCGTACAACTTTTGGGCCGAAGCCATCAACACCGCGTGTCATGCATCCAATCGGCTCTACCTCCGCAAGGGCTTGAACAAGACTCCATATGAGATACTCACCGGTAACAAGCCCAACCTCAAGTACTTCCGGATGTTCGGGTGTAAGTGTTTCATTCTCAAGAAAGGTGTTCGGTTGTCTAAATTTGAGGCTAGAGCTCATGAGGGCATATTTGTTGGTTATGCTACAAACTCTCATGCTTACTGTGTCCTCAATAAATCCACGGGACTTATTGAGGAGACGTATAACATGGAGTTTGATGAGAATAACGGCTCCCAAGTGGAGCAAAGTGGCACTTGTGATGTAGGTGATGAAATTGCTCCTCAAGCCATAAGAAGACTGGGTGTTGGTTTTATCCTACCCATTGAGGAACCCCTTGTGGCCGAAGGAGAAGGACAATGCTCCACTCAAGTGGAGCCATCACCAACCCAAGGCCCACACGCTTCCGAAGAACAAAGTGAAGGCTCTCAACCTCATGAACAAGACCAAGGGCAAGATCATACTCAAGACGGTGTTGACACACCAAGTGATGCCCAAGGTCAAGTTCTCTGCCCCGAGCAAGTTCAAGATCAAGAACAAGTTCATGACGGCGCTCAAGATGATCAAGTAACCGCTCCTCAACTCACCACCGAGGAGGAATTAGAGCGTCGTGCCGCCAAGATTGCATCCAAGCTCTCCACCAAGGATCATCTCATGACGAATGTGCTTGGAAGCTTAAGAAAGGGGGTAAGCACTCGTAGACAATTAGCAAATTATTGTGAGCATCACGCGTTTGTCTCTTGTGTGGAACCCCACAAGGTCTATGAGGCGCTAGAAGATCCGGATTGGCTCAATGCCATGCACGACGAACTCAACAACTTCGAGCGCAACAAAGTGTGAAGATTGGTGCCAAGGCCAACGGGGAACCACAATGTCATTGGAACCAAGTGGATGTTCAAGAACAAGCAAGATGCCCATGGGATTATCATTCGCAACAAGGCTCGTTTGGTAGCACAAGGCTACTCCCAAGTCGAGGGTATCGACTACGGTGAAACCTTTGCTCCCGTTGCTCGTCTTGAATCCATTCGCTTGTTAATTGCATATGTTTCTCATCATAATTTTAAGTTACAACAAATGGATGTGAAGAGTGCTTTTCTTAATGGTCCCATTAATGAATTGGTTTACGTCAAGCAACCCCCCGGGTTCGAGGATCCCTACTTTCCCGATCATGTGTATCAACTCGATAAGGCGCTCTATGGCCTTAAACAAGCCCCACGTGCGTGGTATGACCACCTTACCGAGTTGTTACAAGACCGTGGTTTTGAAGTTGGGCTAATCGACCCCACTCTTTTTACTAAGAAGGTCAAAGGGGAGTTGTTTGTGTGCCAATTATATGTTGATGATATTATCTTTGGTTCTCCTAACAAAGCTTTCAATGAGGAATTTGCCGCTCTCATGAACTCAAAGTTCGAGATGTCCTCCACGGGAGAGTTGAAGTTCTTTCTAGGGTTCGAAGTGAAGCAAAGAAGAGAAGGAACTTTCATCAATCAATCCAAATACACTCAAGACATGCTCAAGAGATTCAAGCTAAGTGACGTCAAGCCGGCTTCCACTCCAATGCCCACCAAGTGCCAACTTGACTTAGATCCCAATGGTAAAGTGGTGGATCAAAAGGTATATCGTTCCATGATTGGATCCTTGCTTTACCTTTGTGCATCTAGACCGGACATCATGTTGAGTGTGGGAATTTGTGCACGGTTTCAAGCCGCACCTAAAGAAAGTCACTATGTGGCGGTCAAACGAATCTTTCGATATTTGGCTCATAACCCAAACTTTGGCCTATGGTACCCAGAGGATCAAACTTCAAGCTTGTAGGGTACTCGGATTCCGATTGGGCGGGAGACAAAGTGGATAGGAAGTTCACTTCCGGAGGGTGCCAATTCCTTGGTTGCTCTTTGGTAAGTTGGTCTTCCAAAAAGCAAAGTTGTGTGTCTCTCTCGTCCACTGAGGCGGAGTATGTTGCCGCCGGTAGTTGTTGTGCTCAACTCCTATGGATGAGGCAAACTTTAAAGGATTACGGTGTCACTTGTGACAAAGTGCCTCTTTGGTGCGACAATGAAAGTGCCATCAAGATCTCTCTCAATCCGGTGCAACATTTCAAGACGAAGCATATTGAGATCCGGTATCACTTCATCCGGGATCACATTAGACGAGGAGAGATCGAGCTCAACTATGTCAACACTCATGACAACCTTGCAGATATTTTCACGAAGCCCTTGGATGAAGCAAGATTTCACGAGTTAAGGCATGAGCTAAATATCATTGATTCGAGCAATGTGGCTTGAACCCTTGCACACCCTACCACGCTCAACTTGTTGTCTAGTTTAGGTGTAGTCATGGACATAGGGGGAGTGTTGTTCTCTCAATGAACTCTCCCTCCCCCCATTATGCATAAATTGATTGTGTCTTTCACATTAGCCATATTTGATGGTACTTGTGCTTCAAAGACGAGTTTTGGTCATGGACCCAAGGATAATTCTTCGCGGTGCCATACCAATTGACTCAAACATAGGTGGCCTCGGCCACCGTCCTCTCTTCGAGGAGTTGGAGTTAGCCTTGCTGCTCTCGTGTTGTTTTCTCTCTTTCTCTCTTTGCTCTTTGTGTTAGGTTCTCCTAGGGTGTTGTTTCTCTCCTGTTTTTGTGCCCCTTCTTCCTCCCTTCGGATTGCACTCATTTGATCTTGGCTTGGGCTTAGGTGGTCGGGCGGTACAACCGGCACCACGAGCGGTTCTACCGCTGGTACCGGGTTGTGCTATCCCAAGGGTTTCCGTTTGGTGCCTGGGTGGTTCCACCGCACAATCCCACGGTAACCCACGTCCGGTTCTACCGGTTGTTGCCGTGCGGTACTACCGCTGCCTTCCAGGCACCGGAAGTACCGCCTCCATCCACCGGTCTGTACCAGACGAGCGGTACAACCACTCCCCTAAGCGGTTCTACCGGGGCATGCGTACGGGCCTATATATACTCGACGGGGCTGAAGGGCTGTCTTTTTCCCTTCGTCCTCGTTCCTCTTTTTCCTGCCCTAGCCGCCGACCATCTCTACCCCTGCCCCAGAGTGCGTCTCGCGCTTCAGATCCTTGGCTCTCCGTGGATTCTCTCCGTGGAGGCCTTCCGATCTCTTCCCATGGATGATGGTAATGCCTCGTGTTCTTTGCCTCTAGATGTTTGTTTAGGGTTATTCCTTACCTAGGGCTTTACCGATCTTTCCACGCTTAGTGTTCGTTCTATGGCTTAGAAGAGTTCTTTGTTAGCCTCCTGTCTTGTTTGCAGCACTTAGAATTCGGAATATTACTTGTGTGATTTGTATGACTCGGTTAGATCTATCTTCCCTGGTAGTGCCACTGTCAGCGGTTCTACCGCCCCTACGGGCGGTACAACCGCTAGAGCGGTACTACCGGCGGAAGATCCGGTACAACCGGAGTATATCAACCACTAAGCACTGTTCTATCTTCTCTGTTGTTGCAACTTGTTCCTTTTCTGCTAGTGGGTGCAATCCTCTCATCCTTGTTGGGTCTTTGTGTGTTCTTTTCGTGTGTGTGTTCAGGTGGCTCTAGTTCTCGCTCTGCTCCTCGCAAGACCAAGAAGAGGGCACGAAGGACCTTGCGACCGGTTGTGTCAGATGATGAAGAAGTTGTGATTCCCACCAAGCCCACTCGCCGTGAAAAGTCTGCAGCTGCTAAGCAACGTGTTGTCATGCCGTTGCATCGTTGGAAAGCCAAGGATTGGGAAGCCTACCGCTCAAAGAATCCGTATGAGGTTCCCATTGCTCCCCGTTGGACCACTGTTCAGTTCCGGAATGAGATGCAAGTGCGGATTGTTCATGAACTCTTTGAGCACAATAAGAACAGATATGCCAAGCAGTGGACAATTGATTTTGATCATTGGAGAAACAACATGGAGTATTTTGGTGAGGCACTAGCTCTCTGCGAGGAGTTTGATCTTGTCAAGATCATGTCAGTCAACTGTGACTTTGATGTTCAACTTATCCATCAGTTCTATGCCACGGTTCATTTTGGAGAAGATGATGCGCGCACTCTCACCTTCATGTGTCGCAATGAATTGTTTCATGTTCCCTGGAGGGCTTTCTTCAATGCTATTGGGTACGAGGATACCGGTCTGCAAGGAAGGGGTGGCATTCGCCCTCATGATTTTCCTGAGTCCATGCCTAAGGAGAAGCTTGCCCCTCTGTACATTAGGGGCCGTGGGATTATTGGAGAATCCAAGGATTTGGAGAAGGTCTATGACATCATGCACCGAGTGTTCCGCAATGTGCTCTTGCCCAAGGTGGGCAATCAAGATGAGATTCATGGCTATCTAGTTGATTTGATGGTTGCTATGAAGACCATGGTGGGGACAGGGGCAACATTTGATGTGTCCAATTGGCTGTGGCATGAGATGTACAACATGGTCATCTACCGTAAAGTCTCAATCTACGCTCCGTTTGTCATGTGCTTTCTGAACTCTGTGTGGGTTGTTCGTCGTCCTAGAGAGCTCCTCACTTCTCCAGACAACCTTACTGTTCATGAGGTCAAGCTCCTTAAGAAGAAGAAGCATGCCGAGCCTCGCTTCCCTGAACATGCTCCTGAGGATGTCTATGCTACTTCTGACGATGAGGACTTTGAGCTGGAGCCAGGGGCCAAGCCTTCGTGAGTGGCCAAACTTACTGCCAAAGTGAAGAAGACCTTTTGTCTCCAGGCTGACATCCAGAAGAAGATGTATGAGGCACATGTCAATGAGAAGCTTGCACGGCGTCGCCAAATTGCAATGATGAAGCACCTCAACATGCAGGTTCAGAGTGGCTCTAAGAAGAGCATCACCCCAGAGGAGCGTTGGATCTCTACCCATAGCACCTGGACTGATGATGAAGCCCCTCCCCAGCCATCATCCTCGTTTGCAGCAGCGGACAATGCCATGGAAGAATCTGATCACGACGATGATGACGACTCTGATGATGAAGATCCAGATGCGACTGAGGAGTCAGAGGAGGACGCCTGAGCTTTGGGTCGCTAGCTTCGCTCTTTTCCTTTTTGGTGTCTTGATGCTAAAGGGGGAGAGGGTTCTATAGGTCTCAGGGATTTGCTTGGGTTGTTTTCTCTTGTTCTCGTGTTTTGTGTTTGTTTGTGGACTTGGTTCGTTCCGTGCTGTGTGTGAGACTTGCTACTCCGTTTACCTTTCTGTTCATAGGTCTTTATCGTTATTATTGCCTCTAAGTATTATATTGTCTATCCTTTTGAGCTCAGAGTGATGAGTCTAAAAAATCTAGGGGGAGTCTAGTCCTGAAAGTGTGCTCATGCTTTCTAACAGCTAGTACTTGTTGGGATCACATTCAGGGGGAGTTCCGTCTAGATTTCATTGACTTATCTCTTGCAAATCGTGTTGTTGTCATCATCCACCAAAAAGGGGGAGATTGAAAGGGCATTTCCCAACTTTATGTTTTGGATGATGATGACAACCCTTGGTGGTCTAAACGTGTGCTTTATGTTTCAGGTTCTTGATGCTTAGGCTTACATCGGATTGCTATTACCTCTCGAAGGAAAAGATCGAAGACGTGTCCTCTACAGTTTTATTTTCTTTGGTCGTACAGTACCCGTACTATCAAGAGGGAATCCTCATTAGGAAGCTCTGGGGGAATCAGTTCACGTACACTTTTCTCACCCTCTCTTTGCCTTCCTCAGGTGTGTGTGAGAGAGAGAATTTTCCTTGCCTCTTCCCCTCTTTTCTTTTCTGCTCACTATTTCTGCCCAGCGGTTGTACCGCTCTCAGGAGCGGTTGTACCGCTGGGTCTTGTCGCTCACCAGCTATGCTCGAGCGGTTGTACCGCTGCCTCCGGGCGGTGGTACCGCCACCATGCTCTGCAACAGCTGGGGCGGTGGTTCCGTCCATGCACTGCTCCAGTACCGCTCTCGCTTCTGGTTTGATGCGGTTCTTGGGCGGTAGTGGCCCGGTTGGTCCGGTCGTTCCATGATGACCGGTACCACCGGTGGTCCGAGCGGTTCTTCCGCTCAGGACTTAGCCACACAAGAGCTCAAGGCCATACGGTTGTTCCGGCCAGGCACCGGCCAAGTACCGGTCAAGCTCCTGTTTTGATGCGGTGTTTGTGCGGTGGCCAGGCGGTTAGTCCGGTTATTTTTCTTAGCCGGTACTACCGCCCCTGGTCCGGTTGTACCGCTTGGTAGGGTTCTACTGATACACCGTGAGTCCCGGTTGTACCGGGACGAGGACCGGTTGTACCGCTGCAGTGCTAGAATCACAGTAACGGTTGGAAATTGAGGGTGACTATATAAGGGAGCTTCTCCCACCTACCACACCCACCTTTGACCTCTCTTACTCCACCATTGATGCCCTTCAAGCTCTCTTGCCCGATCTCTCTCTCTAGCCACTCAAACTTGTTGATTTGTTAGGGATTGAAGGAGGAGACCTAGATCTACACTTCCACCAAAGGATATTTGGTTCCCCCATACTTTCTTGTGTGGATTTTGTTACTCTTGGGTGTTTGAGCACCCTAGACGGTTGAGGTCACCTCGGAGCCATATTCCATTGTGGTGACGCTTCGTGGTTTCGTTGGGATCCTCCAATTAAGTTGTGGAGAGAGCCCCAACCTTGTTTGTAAAGGTTCGGTAGCCGCCTTCAAGGGCACCAATAGTGGAATCACGGCATCTCGCATTGTGTGAGGGCGTGAGGAGAATACGGTGTCCCTGGTGGCTTCTTGGGGAGCATTATGCCTCCACACCGCTCCAACGGAGACGTACTTCCTCTCAAAGGGAAGGAACTTCGGCAACACATCCTCGTCTCCACCGTCTCCACTCTTGGTTATCTCGTGCCTTTATTTAAGCTAGCTTACTTGTTTTATATCTCTTGCTTGCTTGTGTACCTATCCTCGTTGCATCATATAGGTTGTTCACCTAGTTGCATTTCTAGACGACCTATTTTGATGCAAACTTTAACTTGTTAAAGAAAAGCTAAAAAATTGCTAGTTGCCTATTCACCCCCCCCCTCTAGTCAACCATATCGATCCTTTCAACTTGGAAAATTTCAATATCAACTGTATGGATTACAAGCACCAATAATTTTACTGACTCGTGCAACAAAAATGGAACTAAAACTAGCATTCTTCGCCTCAAAGACAATTGCAACAATTAATATGGTAGAGGAAAGAAACAACTTACTACACACACTCTATCTTTTACAAGTGTGCAATAAGTGAAACAACCTATTGAAGCGTTCGACATTAAATCTCTTTGAAGAGTGATATGAGTCCCCACCTTAGAAGTGAGAATCCAAGGCCACATAATGCACTATTATCAGAGGCGCATAGGCTATTGAACCGCTATTTTGTCTTGGGATACTAAAGAAGAATGCCAAGAGCACAAAAGTATGAAGCACAAAAACAAAAACACAAAGTACTCCAGAAAAGAAAGATGGATCAAGAACCATTGATTTGCAAAGGCAAAACACCACTTCCTCTCTGGCATCGACTAAGACAAACATGTCAATGCCAAGATTGAACCGCCATACATATAGGTCTTGACCATCGGGATGGGGCAACAAAGTCACAAACATTGAAGTTTAAATGTATAATCTAGAATCAGATTGGCCGAGAAAATTGGCAAGAAAGATGACAAACGAGGCGATGGTGACAATGGTTCCTTTGTATTGGCAATTGGGAGCTAAGGGTGAATTGTGCTTGATCAGCAGGTAGTTTTGAGCGGATGGTGGTGTATGGGCAGATTTTCCTTTTTTATGCCCGCTTCATCGTTTTTTGTTCTCTTTCTTTTAATGTCCACTTCACTAATCTCATTAGTTACCTCACTTCATAGGTAGGAAATTCGTCCGGCCTAAGCTATCTCGGTCCATCAAAGCTCCGACTCTTGACTAGATTCATAAACAAGGCGACTAATTAGCCTACCCACTTTCCTACCGAGCGCTAAGCAGGGAGCGACCAACAACTTCTCACTCCCGATGCAACAAGGTGGGTTTCCCTATTTCTTCACATTGTGTGTGTGTGTTGGGGGGGCATTGAATCATGCTATTTCTTTTTTTTAATGTTTTTTCCATTAGTCGAGTACATGTTGCATTATAAAGTGGCCATTACACCATGTGTGAACTACAGATTGCATCAAGAAAGCATAGGTTGCACTAAGCACATGTTGCGTCACGCATGAAGTATATGTTGAGTCGGCGAGTACATGTTGCACTGCGTAGAAAGCACTGATTCACCAGTGAGTACATGTTACACTACACGGAGGAGTACATGTTTGTCAGAAAGCACATATTGCACTCTGTGTGAACCATAAGTTGAAGGGTACACAATAGTGATTTTCTTTTGTATGGGGTAAATAGTGATTTCCCTTTTCTTTTATTTTCTTCTTTTTTTAGTCTTTAGAGCATTTCATAATTAAGGCTTTAGCCCGGCCTCTCAAAGGCCCAAGTCTAACAGGCCGAACCAGCAACCGAGCTTGAAAAAGCCTAGAGCACAGTTGGCCCAGCGACAGAATCATATGGCCTTTCACTCTCCATCCCGCGTGATGCGCCAACTGTATAGCGGGACGGCGGTTGTCCGACGGCCACCGATCCCGGAGGGCTGCGCCTCGGCGGGATCCCCTAGACGGTTTCTTGCTGCTCAAATCCGGTGGTCTTATCTCCATGGAGAAGCTGACGTGGTGGTTTCTTTGGTTGAAGCTACCTCATGGGACCAAGGGCACCGCGCCTGCCGCCCGCGCTGTGTTCGACCTTATGGCGCTGAAGCACAGGCACCGCTGAGGCCACCTTCGATCGCCGTGACGGGGTTCGAGGCCGCACAGACGAGTTTCGTGTGTGGCTAGATGCTGAGTTCAGGGTCAACGAGTTGCTGTCACCTGCGATGGATGGATGAAAGAGGGAGATTGGCGGCTGCTCCTGCTCTGGAAACACACGGATGCTGACCGACGAACCAACGCATGGTGAAGTTGTACATTTCAGACGCGCAAAGCTGCAGACGGATCAACTTATCCGGCTTCTTCAGAGTCTTCTACCTCTATTAGTTTGCAAAAATTGCAGTTGGATCGAGTACCAACCTAGCCATCAGCCTTAGCGAACTTGGTTGCTTCCTCGACACTCGCAGTCCCTGACATGACATGGGTTGGTAATGGTTATAGGGATTCCACTGCACATTGTCATCTCGTCATTTCGTCAAAGCAGCTGTGCCTCTGCACCATGAAGGTGAAGGGTGATAATCTTCTCATAATAGCATGGAGTCAACGACCGATCATGCGAGCAAAAGCGCTTTTGCCGACAGATTATCTGAAAGGAGATGTGCTTTCCGATCTCCAAACTGAAAAAGGCGTCCAGTCCCAGCTGATTGGGTGCCTCATATGCAAAGATAAGTGCTGCTGTCGACGTTCTGCATGGGGGAAGGTGTGGCTGATTTGCTCGAGCACATGGTTAGCCATGCAAATTTACATCTTACGTGCCATTGCAGCTAGGTTAGTCGTTGTCCATTCAATCTATTAATCATTGCAATGCATTTTGTATGGATTGTTTGGGATTTTTGGCTTCACAACTAATAAAATTATGCAGCATACATAAAATGAAAGGAAGTGCCTGGACTGGGATTCAAGAGGAATCCTAAAAAACTTTGAAATTCAGTAATTACCGAGAAATAAACCACCACCAACTGCACACATAAGGAATAATGTATGGCACATTAATACACCATCATATTTCGTCATGTAGCCAAATTGTTGTGTTAGTAATGAACTTCTTGGCGAAATAAAAATGATTCTAGTTAATAATTAGAGGAATCTTATGGCATGCCGCATGATGTGATGCTTCATTGGCCTGTTTTCATATTATTCTAAATTCTTCAAATCCCCTCCTTGTTTTCTATGATAAAGGATGACCCTTGTTAATCCCACTCATTGCACGATGTTCCCTTCAGAATAGCAACATTATTTAATTACAATGAAAATGTTTTTTGTCAAATGATCTGAATATAATAATATACTCATGCCAAATACTATGGATGTTATGGTACAAGGGTAGGGTTTCTCTACACCATTGTTTCCAAGTAGCAAATGATTGTTCCACATGCGTGATCCAACAGCATGCAAAATGGATTTATGCATTTGTCCAAGAATGTTTGCTTAAGACGGCTTGTTCTATGATGTCTTATGTTAGAATATAGCTCTCCGTGATGCTTAATTAAACAGTTCGCTTTAGGATAAGCAAGTACAAGTACGTTCCATCATACACCCAACTTTGTCACCTGATTCATGTCCTGTCCGATAACCCGAATCCCAACTCCCGTGGGTGTGAGCAAGTAAGAAACGTGCAAGCAAAAGGGAAAATGTTATGGAGGCACAAGTCAAAGCCAGCTCAATAAGGAGCCAGTACTAAATTGTTTGAATGCAGAACAAAGTCAATCTTGGACCAATGATGCAACCATTACACCAACAGCACATCATTGTCTTCATGCTACCGACCGATGAGTAGTTGGGAACATCAGTCATCTACAGATCTACTGACCCCTTTCAATTCTTCTCTGAACCTCTGTTCATGCATACAAAAGTCTTCACAGTTGTGGTTTAGTAGCTGAATGATCAATCAAAATGACTGGAAAATTGCTGAAGGCAGCTGGCTCACCAGAAGGAACAGCATGTTTGCAATGCAGGGGTTTCACAGGTGTGCTGATCACAGTTGAATTCTCGCAAGGATCCAGAAAAATTATTGTGTTTCAAGCGGCCTGAAGTCTGAAATGAGATGCAATTGCTCATTTGATGTGCTCCAGGATTCAGAGTCTAAACCAAAAAGGTGGGCGTGGTTGTGCATCATTAGGACTGTGATGCCGCTTTCGGATAACAGCACAACTGTATGTCTCTATCTGATTGGACTTGCTCTCCCCATGGAATCCCTGCTACGTGCAGTTGAACCGAAGCAAACAAAGTAGAGTGTGAGCTGGTGCGACCCATGCATGCTGCTGCATTGCTGCCTGTCATAGCATGGGGATGGACACAACTGCTGTGGTGGTTACTGTAAGTTTTTTTCTCTCTCTCTTACCTTTCTTGCTTCCCGTGGTCTCTTGAGATTCAATTCTGTCACTGTCACTCCAATGCAAAAGTCACTTTCCCACTACCTTATAATTGAAACGCCACTAGTGGGTCTGGCTCACTTGGTTACTGATTGGCCTTTTTCCTCCTCATGCATGTCAGCGATTGTTTCATCATAGTACAATTATGGTGTACTGTCTTCAGTTATGTGAAACCAGAAGTATGTCGTCGTGGTTCGAAGTATGCAGAAGGCACAGCCACTCACTGAACCTGCTGAATTCCTTTGTTTTGGGTTAGATGGCCAACAGTATCTCCAATAGTTGATAGCCTGCTAAGTAGGAATTTCTGTGCTATCTGGTTGCTTAAATAGTCAGAAATTTTATTTATTTTCCTATAGGCAAACAATGTAAGTACGCTCTATTCGTTTTATTTATCACCAAACCTGAGCAAGAACACTATTTAATCAACCATGGAAGCATCATGTAGTTGTCCTTATGCTACCAAATCAAGGAGGGCAGTTGAACTGTTTAAGCACGTACCCGCTGTAAAGTGCACCAGTTTACTAATCTCCAGTGCCCTTTTCATTCTTGTTACTAGATATCACCCAGAAGAAGCTGAACTAACAAGTCAAAGCAACAAGGTTAGCCTTTAAAATACCTGATAACTAGCTCTGCATTATTCAGAGCTACTCTGATTATTCTAATCATATATCTGTAACCGGGATTCTGCATTTCTACATGCTCTACCTTCTCCTTTGGCTTGTATTGCATTTTCACTAGTAGGAGCCCAGCACATTCCCTGACTGTGATACACAGAGCAGGTAGGCGTTTGACAACACCTTTCCCCCCTTTTTGCAGCTTAGGCTCCTACCACACCACAGCAATGGGGGTTTATACACATCTTCCCAACTCCGGGGTAGCAGCTATCCTGTAAGTTCAGCTCCCCCTTTCTAGTTTACACAGTTGCATCATAACATCGTAGCAATGGCCATTCCGCTTGCGCTTCTTCTATCTCTGCTCTTTGGCATCCTGCTTGCACCGGAATGTGTAGCCACACCGGACATGGCTCCTACCACTCTGCTGCAGGTGAAGTCCGATCTCATCGATCCTCAAGGCATCCTCTCCGACTGGTCGCCGAAGGCTGATGTCTGCTCCTGGCACGGTGTTTCATGCCTGCTGGGAGAGGGCATTGTGACAGGCCTCAACTTGTCGGGATACGGCCTATCCGGCACGATATCTCCGGCGATATCTGGCCTGATATCTGTGGAGTTCATTGACCTGTCCTCCAACTCCCTCACCGGGCCGATCCCGGCAGAGCTCGGCATGCTGCAGAACCTGAAGACGCTGCTCCTCTACTCCAACGCCCTCGTCGGCACCATCCCTCCGGAGCTGGGCCTCCTTGGGAACCTAAAAGTTCTCAGGATTGGCGACAACAGGCTGCACAGCAAGATACCACCGCAGCTCGGCAACTGCACGGAGCTCGAGACCATGGGGTTGGCCTATTGCCAGCTGAGTGGTGCCATTCCTCACCAGATTGGCAACCTGAAGAACCTGCAGCAGCTGGTCTTGGACAACAACACTCTCACCGGAAGCATCCCGGAGCAGCTTGGTGGTTGCGCAAATCTGCGTAGTCTGTCAGTGTCTGATAATAGGCTGGGTGGCATCATTCCCTCGTTCATTGGCAGCCTGAGTGTTCTCCAGTCTCTCAACCTTGCAAACAATCAGTTTTCCGGTGCGATTCCGGCGGATATTGGGAAGCTATCCAGCCTGACATACCTCAACCTGCTCGGCAACAGCCTGACAGGCGCCATCCCGGAAGAGCTGAACCAGCTGAGCCAGCTGCAGGTTCTTGACTTGTCCAAGAACAACATCTCTGGAGTGATCAGCATCTCCACATCACAGCTGAAGAACCTGAAGTACCTTGTGCTCTCTGACAATGTTCTTGATGGTACCATACCTGAAGGCCTCTGCCCTGGCAACTCGAGCTTGGAGAGCCTGTTCCTTGCCGGGAACAACCTCAAAGGAGGCATCGAGGGGCTGCTCAACTGCATTTCACTGCGATCCATCGACGCGTCGAACAACAGCTTCACCGGAAAGATTCCGTCGGAGATCGACCGGCTGTCGAACCTTGTCAACCTTGTGCTGCACAACAACAGCCTTACCGGCGTTCTGCCACCTGAGATAGGTAACTTGAGCAACCTGGAGATGCTGTCCCTGTACCACAATGGCCTCACCGGTGTGCTCCCGCCGGAGATCGGCCGGCTGCAGAGGCTGAAGGTCTTGTTCCTGTACGAGAATCAGATGTCTGGGACCATACCTGATGAGATCACCAACTGCACGAGCTTGGAAGAGGTGGACTTCTTCGGCAACCATTTCCATGGGACTATCCCTGAGAAGATCGGGAACCTCAAGAGCCTAACGGTGCTTCAGCTCCGGCAGAATGACCTGTCCGGCTCAATCCCAGCGAGTCTCAGGGAATGCAGGCGGCTGCAGGCATTGGCATTGGCGGACAACCGGCTCTCCGGCGCACTGCCGGACACGTTCAGGCTTCTCACCGAGCTCAGCATCATCACCTTGTACAATAACTCCCTTGAGGGGTCGCTGCCCGAAGCACTGTTCGAGCTGAAGAACCTGACGGTGATCAACATCTCGCACAACAGGTTCAGCGGCAGCGTCGTGCCTCTCCTTGGCTCGAGCTCCCTCTCCGTGCTGGTGCTGACCGACAACAACTTCTCCGGTGTCATTCCGACAGCAGTGACACGGTCGAGGAACATGGTCAGGCTTCAGCTGGCCGGCAACCATCTCACCGGTGCAATCCCGGCCGAGTTGGGCGACCTGACGCAGCTCAAGATGCTTGACCTCTCATCCAACAACCTCTCCGGCGATATCCCATCGCAGCTCTCCAACTGCTTGCAGCTCACCCATCTGAACCTTGAGCGTAACAGTCTGACAGGCGCCGTGCCTTCCTGGCTCGGCGGCCTGCGGTTCCTTGGAGAGCTCGACCTCTCGTCGAATGCATTGACCGGCGTTATACCGGTGGAGCTCGGCAACTGTTCGAGCCTTCTCAAGCTGTCTCTCAGCGGCAACCGTCTCTCCGGCAGCATTCCGCAGGAGATAGGAAGGCTCACGTCCCTGAACGTTCTAAACCTGCAGAAGAACAGTCTCACCGGCGTCATACCGCCCACACTCCGGAGGTGCAACAAGCTCTATGAGCTGCGCCTGTCGGAGAACTCGCTGGAGGGGCCGATCCCCATGGAGCTCGGGCAGCTGTCAGAGCTGCAGGTGATGCTGGACCTAAGCCAGAACAGGCTGACCGGACAGATTCCGACGTCCCTCGGCAACCTCGTGAAGCTGGAGCGGCTGAACCTGTCCTCCAACCAGCTCCACGGGCAGATACCAGCCTCGCTGCTGCAGCTCACCAGCCTGAACCGCCTCAACCTGTCGGACAATCTCCTCTCCGGCACGATACCCGCCGTGTTATCGAGCTTCCCGGCCGCGTCCTACGCCGGCAACAACGAGCTCTGTGGCGCGCCGCTACCGACGTGCGGGGCGAACGGGAGGCGCCTGGCGAGCGCCACGGTGTCCGGCATCGTGGCGGCCATCGCCATCGTCTCGGCCACTGTGTGCATGGCTCTGCTGTACATAATGCTCAGGATGTGGAGCAATTGGAGGGAGGTGTCGGTGTCGAGCTCGGACGGTGAGGAGCCGGAGGCGCATGGCAAAGGGGGCAAGTGCTGCGCCGGGGACGGGAAGTACTGGAAGGTCGGTTCGGGCTTGGTCGTCGCGCCGTCGACGGAGGAGAAGTACAGCTCGGCGTCGGAGAGCAGCGTTCTCCATGGGAAGCTCACGGAGGCGAGCGCCATCAACTCCAAGGGCTAGCAGCGCGGCTTGCATGCTGTGGTTGAATCTCAAAATGTTTGTGTATTATCAGTGGCTGTTTCTTGTATCAAAGTTATCGGTCGCCACCGTTAAGCATTTTGTTCTCGTTTCTCTAATATATTATCTTCATGTTTTAAATTTTGTTCGTGGGTTCTTCATCTGAAGCTAAAGCTTTTTCAATTATCAGAGGACTTTATTGTAAACTTGGAAAACCTTCATCAGATGATTAAATGATCGATTGCTCACATGCACCCTGAAGACTACAGCTCTTAGCTAGAATAACGTACTCCCTCCGCTTTCTTTTTACTCTGTGTATAAAATTTGTTTGAAGTCAAACTACATAAATAAGTTTGACCAAATTTATCTTAAAAAATAACAACATTTACAGTACAAAAGTTATATAGTATAAAAATTAATTTCATGATGCATCTAAAAAAAAGATATTGATTTTATATTGTGAGTGTTGATAATTTTTCTTATATAGTTAGTCAAACTTTACAAAGTTTGATTTTGGACAAATTATATATTTTTTGACAAAGGAAATATATTAATATCGTGAAGATACCAATTACACCCAGCCTTCGCAACAACGAAATGTTGTATAGACATTACGGATACACACAACCTTACAACAGAAAGGAAGAAGAAGAAGAAAAAAGATCCCGCTACGGTGATTAAAACCATGTAGCTGCAACACAAACCACTGCATAGGCAGCACGCGGAGTCCAAATTCTCCAAAAGCGATGCCTCCAGATACACTTTTTTGTGCAGAATAGATTATACTGATTAAATGTGATGTTTGTGTGCAGGTGGTGTTGATGATCCACCAGATGGTTTGGAAGGTCTCATTGTCAGGTTGCACTACTTCCAAAGGTTTGTAGTACTGGAGGGTATGCTTGAGTATGTAGGTGGTTTGGTGGTAGAGTTTCCTGTTGAGAAAGCCAGAATGGATTATGAAGCAATTTTGTCATATGCACAAGATATGTATCATGTGGAAAGAGGGCATTGCAAAAGGGATTGCAGCTACAAACTACATCGGCTAGTTCCTATCAAATCATTGGAAGATGGGCCGCTTTGTTTGTGTGATGATTCAAAGATGGAGAGTGGCACAGCTAATGGTGATTGTGATGTCATTTATGTGGAGGAAAGTATCGGCTTTTCATGGAACATTCTTTTTTTTGAAATGTTGTGCTTTATCTTTGGCATTGTACTAAAGTGCATTGTTTTCATATGTAGCAACCGAGAAATAGCACATGGACATATCATATTGCAGCATCACTGATTTTGTAGCAACATAACTAAATTTGTATAGCAACATGGCAAACATACCTAACAACACATCTTCAGACCAAACTTATACTAACTTATATGCTGAACTAACAACCTACCTAACATCACTTCTTCATATCCCCGGTCCCCAAAAGTCATCCATCTTTATATCTTCAGTCCTACACATCTTCGTATCTTCATGCTCATTAACTGACCACCCTTTAGGCACTCAGAGCGGCGCACATGCATCAGGCGTGGAGAGCGGCGCACCCCCTCCTTCACACCCCTCCTTTTCTTTGTCACAACACTCTGCACCACCACTGCCTCGTCTTCTTCCTTGGCATTCTTCTTCACAACAACAACAACATCAAGATCCACGTCGGCCACATCGATAGGATTCTCCTTGTTACTATGCACCTCGTCCCTCTCGTCGTCAGCAACAACAACAATTGGCCAGGCACAGTGCGGATATGAAAGTTGGGGTTGACTGGCACTAGCAAGGCAATCACCATGTCCACGAAGCGTACCACCCTTGACGCGACATGGTGTGGATCTAGCTATGGTGGGGGGACGATGGAGCGATACATCCACAACCTCGCGATCTGGTGTCATGCATGGCCCATAGCAGAATCGCCGCCGGAGGAACTCCTTGGCCTCAGGGAAGGCATGAGCCTTCTCCGTTGATGTCATCACGTCGATGAGACCCCACACGTGGTTTGGAACCATCGGGAGATCCCCTCCCAACTCCGCAGGAAACACTAGATTTTCACCAGTCAACTCCTCAATTGTGTGCTGCCAAGTTACTTGTTCTCCATGGCGGGTAGTGATCGACGGTTGCCTCTACGAAACTTTTGGGAGTGGAAAGTGGAGAGTGGGGAGTCGAGAGTGGAGAATGGGGAGTGGGAAAGGTGGAGAGTGAGGTTATATCGACGCAGCATGCAAATAGTCCGCACGTTTGTCCAGTGCACGACAACCACTTGAACTAATTAGTGCACACAATTGAAACTATTGCACTCTAAATCTCTGAATCCCTACATATATGTGCCTCTCTGCATCTAAATCTCTGCACATATGTGCACACATATCTGAAATTTGCCAAAACCACATATCTAAAATTGAATTAGCATTTTTATGTGAATTTCCACATGTCCGCGTAACCACAAATTCATAGAAATTCAGATGCAATTACACAAAACAAAATTCAGTGTCATTTTGCACACATATCTGGACATTCATTTTCAGTGAAATCAAGCACACATCTCTGAACACAATATCAACATCATCACTTGTATGCATGTAAGTCAAACACATAAAACAACAAAAGACAACAACTTGAAAGTTCATCTTCAGCTTCTCAAATTGCTTCTTCACTGCAGCCATTTCTTCAACATGTCTACCTTGCAAATCAAGGGCAAACACATCTGCAGCACCAAGACTTGACTTGGCGTCCATCAGCAAATGCTCTATTTGTTGCTTCTCAATCTTCATCTTCCTCACATTAGTCTTCAAACGGATCACAACACCACACGGGTCACCTAGCAGATGTGTGAGGAACTCACTGTAAGGATCATCATGCCACTTAAAAAAACGGCAATCGGCACCTTGTATCACACACATGTGTGATGAACAACAACAAGCATCAGTCCACAGTGCGCCAAATCAACTGAAATGCAAAAATTTTGAGCCGAGTCTAAAGAAACCGATTTTTTACCTTTGATTTTGAGTAGTTGTAGTACATGTGCCCTAGATAGGCGAGGCTCCATGAATCCAATGTGACAACTTCATGTTGCAGTGCCACACAATCTCAAGCATATACTCGAGCGGCCGCTCTCGGTATGTCACCAGTGACTACGAAGGCGAAGCCTGCGCCGAGGAGCTATGGCTTCGTGAAGACATAGCGAATGACGACCGTGACATGATTGTCCATGAAGAGCTGCGCAGGGCGTAGAAAGAGCGACACACGACGAGGACGGCAATGAATCTCCAACCAAGGGAGAGAGGAAGAGAGGAAAAGAGGAATAGAGCTAGGGTTCCTCGCGACAGAGAGATGAATAAAGGAGCCAGTCCATGTGTAATATCCAGTCAGCAAGATTGTGCCAGTCAACCATGCGAGTCAGTTCAAGAGAAGTCAAAACCACCTTAAATCCAGACCATAACCACTCCAGGTCCTAATTTATTCAGAGGATTCTATTTTATTTATTCTATCCGAACAAGCCAAACATTCTTTGAGGAGACACTAGTGAGGGCTGCCAAATGGGTGAATCATATTCGACCCTCATTGCATCGAATTCTCTCGACCAAACGTCCAATTGGGCGCGTCTATATATCGTCCCACTACTGGTGGATGGGTCAGGCCCAACGTCATCCATGGTAGGGACATCAAATGTCCAGCATGGCGAGCGCAAGACTGATTTTTATACTCTTTACTAGGCATATGCCCGTGCGCTGCCACAGAAGCCCAGACATTGTCAATGCATAAGAGCATTAAAAACAATATGGTATTCTGAGATCACCACACACTATAATCTACCCGATCTTGATGGACACTCTTTTGTCTAGGGAAAGAATTTGTGCAAATAGTAGAATGTCCGTGCGTTGCCATCCAACATCTTATTGGCATATTGTCACCATCTAATTGCAACCTCTTGTGTAGTTTGTACAGGTAACTCGAAGCACCTCTCAACATCTGGCATTCCTTTTCATGTACAACATGGAAATGGCTAAGATTTTGTCACTCCATTAGGTGTCTATGATCATACGACACTGTTCAAGCTATTACCATGATAGAGTTTACTAGGAACTAACAGGGGTAAATATATTTTTTGAGTATCTGGTTGGCATCTTGTCGTCATCTAATTGCATCAGCTTGTACAGTTAACTCGAAGCACCTCCCAACATGTAGCATTCTTTGTGGTGTACAATATGGGAACGGCTAAGATTGTCTCACTCCATCAGGTTTCAATGACCATCTGACTGTTCAAGCTATTTCATACTATTTCCTTTTTTGTAGTGTTTGAACGTAATGCACATGTTGTCAGCATAGTTATTCAGAGTTGCTGTATTCATTGTTTGAACAGTATTATTTCTATGAATATCTTCGAAATTCTTCACGCAAAATTTATCTCACAATTATTGTTTTCTGGAAATGAAATTATCCTCTCATCAAATTTAATAGCTATGATTGTGCTCTATAGCAAATCAATTAGGCCTTTTTAGCAACATCAATTGTAAAGATGTTGGATGTCTTGCTATGTGCTATGAGGGTGTGACATTACTAAGGTTTTGATAAAATTGTGCTGCCAAACAACTCTTACGGTTTTGAAAAAAGGCACCAACTCTTTCTAAAATAATATGATACAAATTCTTTTGGAATTGTCCTAAACAATCTGGTACCTTTTATAAATAATACGTTAGCTCTGTAGAACAGAGTGATAAACAGAGGCTAGACACACAAGAATCTTGCTGTCTATATCTATATCTAGAGGCGTACAAAGCATAGTGGTAGTGCATTGTAGTGAACAAGTACAAAAAATGTATAAATGTATACTAAAATAAAGTATATTGAGGGTTGTGAGAATTAACTCTAGTTCCTTTTTGAATGAGGCAAGCATGATATAATTGAAGATGTACTCGACTGCATGTTTGACCCATGAAAGTTGGGCAATGTCTCCATTTGTGCGGGCACAACCTCGATTGGTACATGTACAACTAATATGGAAGATCGATAGTTG